ATCTTTTTCGTCGCGCTGTGATGACGTCACATACGCGCTTTCGTCAACCGCGCTTTTGTGGAACGCGGTTTTGACGGGTCACGCTCAAGACAATTGAAAACGGCCGCACGCGCGTTCTCGTCTTTATTCTACAAAAGCACAGAGGACACCGAATAATAGCACAACATTTTATTTGGTCCAACAAATGCATTAAGGTGCTGCGTGTTATATTCACGTTGAAGAGCTTTGGTGCACATGTAACGTAGATGTTCAAACAAGACGACAAAGTTCTGTTGAAACAAGTGGGAATTTTCCCTCTCTTGCTCTGAGCGAGGCTGCGGGATAAGGTGAAGTGAGGAACAGGAGAAGCTGCCTTTGCTGACCTGGCCCATCCATCTCAGGGTGGGTCCCGGACACGCTGCTCCCAGCCTTTTTCTTCCACCCGTGAAGATTCTGCCACTGAGTTACAAACCCTGAACTGAGATTGTGCCAAATCTCCCTTCGGGAGGAGGAAACGTCGAAAGTGTGCGTGAAGAGCTAATGTCTCCCAAACACAACAAATTCAGTGTTTGGCCCTGCACATTCACAATTTGCTTTTGGGAATGTTGGGGAAATTAATTGTAAGGCTTGGAAATGAGCTGCGTGAAGTTTGAAATGGCCTTGGCATTATAGGATTTGGCCCCGGGGGGCAGTTGTTAGGAAGCCTGGCCTTCTGATGTAAGTGGAGTGTGTCTGCATACGTACAACCAACGTCACATGATCCAGCTTCCTGGGGAATTCTCAGAATTATTTTTCCAATCCAAGGTAAATAATTTGCACCAGGAGAGAAAGCATCCCACTTTCCCCCCCCCTTAACAGTTGGAGAAAACAAGCTGTCCCAATCCTGCCTTTGGCTAACCCGGTGGCTTTCCAAATTACGGGCTGGTTTCCTTGCCAATTTCAGGATGGACCAAAACAGGAAATCACTAGCTGGACCATGTATTTGGCTTCTTTTATTAGTAGGGAAAAAAATATTCACCCTGTTTTGGAGCCAGGGAGGATTTATTGGCTGTGCCATCTTTGCAACAGATGGAAGTCTGGCAATGACCTCACTTTGCTTTGAGCTGTTGCGAGCTGTGGTTTGCTGCTGGCTTCTAAGCAACCAGGCACAGCTGGCCATTGCGCGCTGGCTTGGCCTCCATCTTTAGCCCCGACCTCTGGTCCAGAAGGTGGCTACACCGGGGTCAAATGCTCTCCTGTTGGCAGCTACTGACCACAAACTCAGCGCCCAGCTTCCCTCCCCTTCTCTTGCATAGCAAGAGAATCTGGTGATTCTCTCCAGGCTTAGTTTCATAACAAACTTGACTTATTTTACTAGGGCTTTACTCAGCCCTCCAACCCCACACTACCCATTCGTTCAAGGCACTGCAGCCTGCTCTCGCGAATAAACTATTGCAGGCTGAATGTACCCTGGATCCATATATTGCGAGCATGTTGGATAAGCCAGTTTTGTATCCCTTTGGTAGAAATAATCCGTTCTGATTTCATTTGAGAAACCCCAGAAACCTATTTGATAATGTTTGGCAAGAACAGTGGCAGAACTCCGATCAACCCCGATTATTTAAGCAATTATCCTCCGGCCTAGTACTGCACTGCTGCAGGCTGTCTAAATTTCTGGAGGCTGCCAGATCGCTTCGGCTGCAGACCCCCCAGAACCAAGAGCATCTGAGATAAGCCTACAAGGAAAGTAAATTGACAGGGGGGGAGGGTTTAGATGAGTCCAACTTTAAAAAAAAAGCTAAGAGCACGGAGTTGTACCGATATATAAAAAAAAACAACACCTAACATCTTTGGGAAAAAAAATTGACATACAAATAATAGTTAAAACTAGACTGGTAGTCCTGGAGATCATTTGGGGATGGTTCACATTTGACACGTTTACAGACATCTAGATCTGGGGAAGGCAATCTAGCCACCAAAGCCGGGTAAATAAATAAACCATGTGTGGCAGCTTCTTGTCTGAAGGTCGCTCTCTCCCTGTCCCACTTAGGAGGAAAGGCTGCCTCCTAAATTTTATCCCATCTTGCTTTATTCCCCTCTTCTGCGAAATGAAGCTGCTGCCACAGGTTGAGTCCAATGCGCCCCTGGAGGTCCTGCGGGCCACGGCTTCCTTCTTGACGGGTGGGGCAGGAGGCGAAGAAGAACTCGGGGGGTGTCCACGGCGGTGGAAGGAGGACAGAAGCAGCCGCTCCTTCTCAGATGGCGAGCTCTTGGCTCAGCTCAGAGTGGGCCGAAGGCAGGCCTTTGTCGGCGGCTGACGGGGACTGCTGTGCCCCCTGACCTTCTTCGCTATGCTGAAGCCCATAACCGAAATAGATGGCAAAGCCTGAGAAAAGAGACAAAACTTCCCAGGGTTAAGAGCAGGCCCGGCCGACTGGGGGGTCACCACATTGGGGGGAAGGTTCTGCGCCAGGTGGCCCTTGCAATCGGGCAGCGGCGAGGGTCTTACCGATGGCCATCCAGACAGCGAAGCGGGCCCAGGTCCCAGCATCGAGCTGCATCATGAGATAGATATTCACCAGGATGCTGAAAAGGGGGAGCAACGGCAGGCCAGGCACCTGGAAAGGAAGAGGAGGCCAGTTGGGAGAGGCCAAGGGAGAGGGGCGGGGCCAGCCAGTGTGGGAACTTGGCTTGAAGGCAGGCCTTTTGTGGGGACAACCGTCCAGCTCTCCTGCTCCTTTGCCAAGGGAGGAGGCTCCGGAATAAGGCAACTCCTCTCCATCCCACACAGGGCCCCCCCCTGAGGAAGAGCCAGCCAGAGGTCTTACTTTGAAAGTGAGGCGTGTCTTGCTTTCTGGCTGCCTCCAGATGACGGCTGTGCCAGCGAGCAAAATGCCCAGGAGAATGACACAGGCAATGACCCAGCCGACGCTGCCCTCCAGGAGGGCTTCCCACTCATGGGCCAGGATGCCACACAGGGCAGTGATCGTGACAGCTGCAAGGAAAGGAGACCGAAGGGAAGGAAGGATTAGGCACGTTAGAGCGTTTCTCACGCCTGAGAAAGCCCTCCGCCTGTGATATCTCAACCCCGGAATCCTGGAACGTGATTCTGCTCTCTTCCTGCTCTCCTCTTGCAAAGGAGCCAAGTCCGGCCAGTTGCTCACTCCAGTCGCCTCTGGAAGTTCCCCCCCGCCCCCGTCTCAGCCACTGGCACCCTCAACTGCAAGTCAGCCAGGGCGCCCAATTTCCCCCTCTCCCCAGTAATCCTACCGACGGCCGTGGTGCTGATGTAGACGATGCGCCCTGACACATGGGTTGGGTTGTCCTCGGCGGGGAAGAAAAGACTCCTGCAGCTGAACTTCTCTTTGAACGCATTCTGGCCATCGCCGACCGTGGAATTAATGGTCATCTTTTCTTCTTCGCTTCCGTTGATCTCGAGCATTTCCAGATCTTTGGAGAACCTGAAGAGCTCAGGTTGGTATCTGTCAGGAAAGCAAGAATTCCTGATTAGTCCTTCTGCAAACCAGGAGTCCTGGAAGAACAAAAACGTGGAAGGCCGGGTCTCGTTTCTCAACCTTCTCAGCTGTAGCTTCTCCAGTTCTGCACTACAATAATCACCCCCTTGCAAAGCCTGCCTGCCTATCATCTAAGCTGCTGAGGGACCAGCACCTAGAGACCAGCTCTTTTCCCAAGGAGGCCCCCACCTGAGGATGAGCACGCAAATAGCCACCAGGGAGTAGGCCAAGAGTGTGCCGATAGACATCAGGTTGACCAAATCCTTCAGCTCAAAGAGAAACGCCATCAGGGCTGTAAAAGAAGGGAGACTGTTAAAAATCTCTGTCTGGATTGATTTTTTTTTTCAGAATATGTTATAAAGGTGTAATGTTATTGGAGGTTTATTGAAATTGCGAATGAATGCCAGTAGGTGGTTGTGTCTTTAAATACAAATGATTTCAGATAAAAGCAGGTTTAAATAATTGTAATTAAATGAGAATTGTGGTACAGTGATAGTAAAATACATAAAATATTTTTGATTTAAAATGTACAATTCAATTTGAATGAAATATATGTAGTGATTGTGGAGGAAGCGCACGAAATGTATTTGTAACCCATCGACACGCTTTCTACAAGAT